CCTGCTCGTATTCTGCCCTCAGCGGCGGGGCGCGTGGATGGTCCCTGGCGGTGCCTCGTAGCTCTTGCAACACAAGGAGCGGACGGGGTGCTCCACCTTTTCGCGAGAGAGTGCCTTCTGTCTCTGACCGCGGGGTTCGGGGTGGGGAGCACGTTGCAGCCCACGGCCTCGGCACGCGCGCTGGGGGGGAGAGAGCTGCAGGCAGTCGCCCGCACTTGCAAAAAAAGGCCTGTGCGCGCGGCTCTTTGCCCTCCGCGCACGACCTTTTAAAAGCCTGCAGCCGGCGCTCTAGGTTCTGGTCCAGGCAAGGGAGCCTCCCCGCGGTGGTGTACACCCTGCGTAGTGTTTGAAAGTGTGCGGCGGAGTTTGCTGGGGCACGGAAATCACACACCAGTCCTGAAGATGCGTCCTAGCCCAACATTTTGGTTGCTTGAGGAGAAAGCCCGCTATGGGAAGCTGCCATATTGAGTCTTACCCCTGCTCCAGTAGGCAGAGTGAGACACCCACCTCAAGCAGCAGATTTTGGGTGCAGAGGAAGGGCAAGAATTGGTTTTGTGTCATGTTCAATTATGTTATTTTGTTTAATTGCCTTGCTGTCAGAAATGAAGAGAGGAAGTTACAAAATTCAAAGTTCTGCCTCAAAAGCCTACGTAAAAAAAAAAAAGCACTGCCCCTTTTGACTTGGGTGAATACAGAGCACCATCTTAGTGCAGCTCCACTTCTGGCATAAAGACATACAGTATTCCAGCAGTATGGAGATTGGCATCCTTGGGTATTTGCCAGAGTTAAGATCCATTAAGGCAGAGGTAGACAGAAGAGATACTGATAGGTCTCTGAGTGAGGTAAATCTGCACAAAGGTCTAACTCCCAATAGTTTTAATAGCTGCAACCAACAAAATGAGCCCTATACTACTGAGGCAAAGAACCAGAAATTGGCTTTCATGTTGATAGTACTGTATGTGGCACTCCTTATACCTAGTGTGACAGATTAGGAGTCCCAAGAAGGGTGGGAACTTCTAAAAAAGAAAAAAGAAAGAAATTCTAAAGGCAGAACTACAGACAATTCCAACAAGAAAAAAAGATGGGAGGTGGCAAAAAATGTCTGTGTAGCTTCACAAAAAGCTCAGAGACGGCCTAAAAACCAAAAAAAGACATGTACAGGAAATGGAAAGAAGGCCAGGCTACCAAGGAATAAAGAGAAGTAGCAAGGAAATGTGAGAATGGTATTAGAAAAACAAAAGCTGAAAATGAGCTGAGGTTAGCTAGGGACACTAAAAGCAATAAAAATAATTCTCCAGGTATGTGAGTAGCAAAAGACAAACAAAAGACATAGTGGCAGAGCTCCACAATGGAGATGGGAAAATGATAATAGAGGACAAAGAAATGGCAGAAGTGCTCAATTCTTATTTTAGTTCCATCTTTTCCCATAAGACAGACTATGAACTTCCAAACAAATTGGAAGTGCAAGTGGGAGGAACAGCATCGCAGCTGGAAATAGATATACAAATAATCAAGAAACACCTTACCACCTTGAATGAGTTCAAATCTCCAGGGCCGGATAAACTGCATCCGAGAATATTGAAGGAACTGGCTGAAGAACTCTCAGAACCGCTATCCATTATTTTCTTGAAATCATGGGAAATGGGTGAGGTGCCAGAGGATTGGAGGAGGGCCAATGTTGTCCCTATCTTCAAAAAGGGCAAAAAAGAAGAACCTGGGAACCACAGGCCAGTCAGCCTGATATCAATCCCAGGCAAAATTCTGGAACAGATCATAAAGCGGTCATTGTGCAAGCACCTAGAAAACAATGCAGTAATAACTAGAAGCCAACACAGATTTGTCAAGAACAAATCCTGCCAAACTAATGTGATTTTGTTTTTTGATCAGGTCACATTCCTGATAGACAGAGGGAATACTGTAGACATAATATATCTTGATTTCAGCAAAGCTTTTGACAAAGTGCCCCGTGATACCCTGATTAGCAAGCTAACTGTTGTGGGCGGGATAGATCAAGTGTCAGGTGGATACACAATTGGCTACAGAATTGTACTCAGAGGGTGATGATTAATGGGTCCTTTTCTAACTCGGAGAAGGTAACTAGTGGGGTTCCCCAAGGCTCAGCCCTGGGCCCAGTGATGTTTAATATTTTTATTATTGACTTGGATCAGGGAGTGCAGGGAATGCTTGTTAAATTTGCAGATTATACAAAATTGGGCGGAATAGCTAATAGCCCAGAAGACAGAAACGCTATTCAAAATGATCTTGATAGGATGGAGCACTGGGCCAAAAGCAACAGAATGAAATTCAACAGGGGTAAGTGCAAAGTACTGCACCCCAGAAAAAGAAACCAATTTCACAGTTACAAGATGGGGGATATCTGGCTCAACAAAACTACGAGCAAGAAGGATCTTGGAATTATCGTAGATCACAAGCTAAATATGAGCCAAGAGTGTGATGTGGCTACAAAAAAAAAAGGCAAATGCTATTTTAGGCTGCATTAATAGAAGTATAGTTAACAAACCGCAAGGTGCTAGTCCCCCTCTATTCAGCACTGGTTAGGCCTCACCTTGAGTATTGTGTCCAGTTCTGGACAGCACACTTCAAGAAGGATGCTAACAAATTGGAACAAGTTCAGAGGAGAGCAACAAGGATGATCAGGGTGCTAGAAACCAAGCCTTATGAGGAAAGGCTGAAAGAACTGGGCATGTTTAGCCTTGAGAAAAGAAGACAGGTGATATGATAGCACTTTTCAAATATCTGAAAGGCTGCCATGCAGAGAAGGGGCAAGATCTGTTCTTGATTATCCCAGAGTGCAGGACATGCAACAATGGGCTCAAGTTAAAAGAAGCTAGATTTTGGTTAAATATCAGGAAAAACTTCCTGTTAGAGCAGTGCGACAGTGAAACCAGTTACCTCAGGAGTTGTTGAGTGCTCCAACACTGAAGGCATTCAAGAAAGATAATCACCTAGCAGATATGCTTTGATTGTATTCCTGCATTGAGCAGAGGGTTGGACTTGATGGCCTTGTAGACCCCTTCCAACGTCACTTTTCTGTTATTCTATGATTAGGACACAGGAGGGCTGGGTTTGAAACCCTGCTTAACTACGGAAACTCGTTGGGGTCCAGAATTGGTAAACCATTCCTTAAATATCTTGCTTACCTTGAAAGTCCTTGTAGGGTCACTATAAATTGGTTCCAACTTAACACATAACATGCAGCACCTCTGGAACAAAGCAGGATGGGGGCTGGTCCTAGAGGAACCAGGGTGGGCTAGCAGAGAGCTTGCCACTAGGATGCACAAGTTGAAAATGGATATAGCTGCTTGTGATTTAGGTGATGGACCAGGAATCAGTAGACCTGGGCTGAAATCTCCATTCCCATCAGTAAATACAGGCCTGAGTTTCTGGTTCAAACTACAGGAAAAAGGATTAGTTTGGGCTGTTTATCTTTTATAGAAATAGAAGCCAAATATGAGATAGTATGTCAGAATCTCAAAGAAGCCAAGAACTGGCTCAGATGCAAATATTATGTACAATATATTTCTAGTGTTTGGGTTGTTTTGTTTTTTCCACCGGAGGCAAAGGTGCAAGAAAGAAATTCATTTTTAAAGCCAGTGCATCAATCAGAATGTAACACAGAGTTAAATGAAACCAAACTCTTAAGGAAACGAACAATTACATCGAGAGTCTAATCAGACCTGTCCTTCAGAAATCACTCATCTACCTCTTCTGTACTTGAGTTCGAAGTGTAATTGCTCTCTCAAAGCCCCTGATGTGTGGTTGGCTGCAAATGCAGAAGACATAAGTGGGGACAAAAGCTGTGTTTGCAGGGGGAGGGGGGAAGACAAGTTCAATGCCTGCATCTTGCCTCACAACCCTTCCCACACACACACACACAAACTGGCTGAAGACATTCTGCACAAAGCATGGAAATCTAGAATCCCCTAGTCAGTGTAGCTGTTTTTCCAACCTCTGGCTTTCCTGTTGGAGACAAAGCAGTCTATGTTACCCTACCAGGAAGTCAAATCAAGATGCACAGTATCCAAAGCCAGTCAAGTTATGTGGACAGAATAACTAAACTGTGACATATCATGAGAAGACAGTACTTACTGGAAATGACAGCAATGCTAGGAAAAGTGAAAGACAGTTGGAAAAGAGGAAGACCTGTGATGAGATGGACTGACTAAATAAGGGCAACTATAGACTTTAGATAGAAGACCTGAACATGGCTGTTAATGGTAAGAGCTTTTGAAGGTCATGGATTTATTTTGGCACAAGAGGCAGAAAATGCCCTTCCTCCCTGACAGCTATTGTGCAATAGTAGTAAATTCAATAGATTAAAATATACATATATACCATTATTTCTTACCAGTACCAGTATCCTGGAACTTCTAGTATAAAATAATAACTTTTCCCTTCACTGAATTTTCT